GAGGGGGGCTGGTCTCTTGGCAGCCGATGAGCGGGGATCGGTTACCATCAGTTGTTCCAAGCGTGGGGCTGGCGTTGGTGGGGGTAACTGGGCTCTCTGGTGCCCTCCCTTCACTGCTCCGTGCCCCCCGCCCCAGGCATCGCCCTGAGCAACGGGGAGAAGTGGAAAGTCCTGCGGAGATTCGCCCTGCAGACGCTGCAGAACTTCGGCATGGGCAAGCGGAGACTGGAGGAGCGGATCCAGCAGGAGGCGCAGTGCCTGGGGCAGGAACTCGCCCACACGCAATGTGGGTCGCCGGGGGGCCATGCGTGGCCAGGCTGCAGCCCCCGTCCGGGACGCAGCTTCCCCCTGCTGCCCCTGCTCCACAGCGCCCCCTGCTGCCCTCACCCTGGGGCCAGCACGAACTGCCAGGGGAGAGCACCCCCTGCTGCCCCTGCCCCACAGCGCGCCCTGCTGCCCCCGCCCTGCTCCCTGCCCCACAGCGCCCCCTGCTGAGCCCCCCGCTCCCTGCCCCACAGCGCCCCCTAGCGCTGCCCTGGGGCCAGCCCTGCCTGCCAGGGGGGAGCGCCCCCTGCTGAGCCCCCTGCCCCGCTCCCTGCCCCACAGCGCCCCCTAGCGCCACCCTGGGGCACAGGGGTCAGCACTGAGAGAAGAGGGTGCCCCCTAGGGCTGCACTGACACCAAGGAGAACCCCTCTCCTGAGCCCCCCCAGTTTCCCAGCCCAGCAATGACAGAGCCAGATCCTGCTTAGCTGAGGGCCCCCCCACTTCCTCCCGTTCCCGCCGCTCACAGCCGGTTCCCTCCCTTCGCCAGCCACGCCCTTCGACCCCACCTTCCTCATCAGCCAGGCCGTCTCCAACGTCATCTGCTCCATCATCTTCGGCGACCGCTTCGACTACCAGGACGGGAGCTTCCTCACCTTGGTCGGCCTCATGAACCAGAACTTCCAGCTGCTCAGCTCCCCGTGGGGGCAGGTGGGTGCTGCTGGGGAGGGGGCTGCATCTGGGGGGCCTCCTTGCATCTGTGGGTGGGATCCCCCACGTGTCCTCTTCCCAAGTGTCCCCCTGAGCGAACATGGAGAGCAAGTGGTCACCATCCCCTGGTTCCCCGCCCAGCCGTCTCTTCGCTCGACCAACGCCTCCGTCCGACAAAAGGAGTGATGCATGGCCCCCCCGGAGCCTGTGCGCACGGGTCGTTATGGCAACGGACTCACGCCCGTGCACGGTTCGTGTGGGTAACGTGCCGGGTGTGGGCACAATTCGTTATGGTGGCCTGGCCTGCGCATGCGGTAACGAACTGAGCCACACACCCGCACTGTGTTGATCATTAGGGTAACGTGCATACGCTGCACTGCCTCCCTGTTCATTACGGTAATGCATGTACGGAGTTCACTATGGTAGTGCATGCGCACTGCTGCTCCGTTCACGATTGTATTGCACGCACAGAGTTCACTATGGTAATACATGCACACTGCTACTCCGTGCATTATGGTAATGTGCACAGAGCTCAGCTCACCACAGTAATGCATGTGCTCTGCTGCCCTGTTCGTTATGGTATTGCACGTGCAGAGCTCACCATAGTAATGCACGCATAGAGCTCCCGACGGAAATGCACGTGTACTGCTGCTCCGTTCACGATGGTATTGCACACATAGAACTTACAACGGTAATGCACGTGCACTGCTGCCCCATGCGTCACGGTAACACGTGCACTGAGCTCATGCGCTTTCGTGAGTGACTCGTATCCCTTTCCCCAGATGTACAACATCTTCCCCGGCCTCATGTCCTGCCTGCCGGGGCCTCACAACAGGATCGTTGAGAACTTCGAGCAGGTGAAGCTCTTTGTGCTGGAGCGGGTGAAGATGCACCAGGAATCCTTTGACCTCAACTTCCCCCGTGACTTCATCGACTACTTCCTCCTCAAGATGGAGCAGGTGAAAGGGTTGTGGGGGCGGGGCAGGGCCCGCATGACCAATTCCTTCCCCTTTAAAGTGGCTTAAAAATGCACCAAGACTCTTGCCCAAAACCTAGCCCCTGCCGTTGACCTCAGCTAGCACTGGGCCCACAGGAGCAGATTGGCTTTGTTTGGGGTTGATTAGGGTTACCATACTTCCGGATTTTCCAGGACATGTCCGGCTTTTTGGTCCTCAAATCCCCGTCTGGGAGGAATTTCCAAAAAGCCGAACATGTCCGGGAAAATAGGGAGGCATGGTAAGGGGACCCCGAGTGAGACTGGCTGCAGCAAAGCCAAAACTAACAACTCCCCCGATCTGCTGGGGCATGGAGGCGGCAGCGGCATCCGAGCGCGCAGCCGCCTCCTCCCCGGGCTCCAACTTTCCCGGCTCCCGTCGCTCTCCACAGCGGCGGTGGCCAAAGCAATTTCCCCAGTGCAGCAGCAGCAGCCGGAGCCCGGGGGCAGTGGGAGGGAGGAGGGGGAATGCGGGGTGCTCAGGGGAGGGGCGGAGTTGGGGTGGAGACTTTGGGGAAGGGGTTGGAATGGGGGCGGGGAAGGGGCGGAGTTGGGTGGGGTCAGGGGCAGGGAAGGGGCGGAGTTGGGCCAGGGGCGGGGAAGGGGTGGAGTTGGGGTGGGGCGGGGCCCCCGTGGAGTGTCCTCTTTTTTCACTGTTTAAATATGGCAACCCTAGGGTTGATGTTAAGAACGGACGGGCTCATGGCCCAGCTCCACAGAGCCACGTGCCACGCAGGCCAGCAGGCCATGACCAACCCCGAATCGCTCCCCGCACTTGTAGGGACGGGAGTCTTTCTGGAGACCCTCCCTGCTCCATCACCAGCCGTACTGGTTTCTGCCTTTGTTGCTGCTTGGAGATAATCTCTGGGGCTTCTTAATCTGTTGTGGGATGCCGAGCTGTAACCCAAGCTCTGGTGAATAAGAACATAACATAAGAACATAAGAACGGCCATACTGGGTCATACCAAAGGTCCATCCAGCCCAGTATCTTGTCTACCGACAGTGGCCAATGCCAGGTGCCCCAGAGGGAGTGAACCTAACAGGTAATGATGAAGTGATCTCTCTCCTGCCATCCATCTCCATCCTCTGACAAACAGAGGCTAGGGACACCGTTCCTTACCCGTCCTGGCTAATAGCACTGCTCTACAGCCAAAATGCTTCTGAAATAAATGTAGTCAAACTTGACTAATTCTGGGTCACTGAGAATGAAAATGATGCTTAAAATTGTTGATTGGCTCTAGTTTTCAAGATATGCAATTGGGTCAGTATATAGGACCCTTGACTTGGGAATGGCGGAGGAGAAGTGAGTTATAAAGGGAAGGGATCTCACTTTAAATCAGAAATGACTAAAATACATCTTTGACTGGATCTATGAATAAATCTATGACTGGGTTTGGACAGTACTTGCTTTTTAGGCAAAACAATGAATGATGCAATCTGAAGCTGGTATTGCGTCATACATGATATGAATTGCATCATGTTATTCCTAG